AACAAGTGCATCGCTACTAGTAACAAGAAGCTACTAGTAACAAGGTGGATCGCTACTAGGAACAAGTGCATCCCTACTAGTAACAAGAAGCTACTAGTAGAAAGGTGCATCGCTACTAGGAACAAGAAGCTACTAGGAACAAGAAGCTACTAGGGGCTCCTGGCATCGCTACTAGTAACATAGGGAGGAGAATATTGGAAAAAGATCGAAGCTTTTCCTGTTGTCGGCCCAGGCACGAACTCATGCTGCACCAAGTAGTCGGGAGCCTTCTTCCAGTTTGGCACCTCGGACTCAATCAACGGTGCTGTGGTTTCCAAGGAAGGGCAAGGCCACAAGGGAAGATGCAACAAAGCAATGGCAGGTTGACGCTTCTTGCGTCTTCTTGCTACATGCGTTGCTGGATTGTTGGAAGCACATGGAAGACCCACACTGATGAAGCCTACAAACCCCGTCTTGATTTGAATGTGGGCCCATCGAATCCATCGAGCATGGTCGAGTAGAGGATTGCAGGAAGATGCACCAAGCACTTTTTAATGGGACCTCAACTTCTTTCGGGAGTACTTGCCATCACCTTGAGAAAGAGCTGCACGCACAAAGAAAAGAACAAATAGAAAAAGAGAGAGAGAGAGAGAGATAAGAAAACAAACAAACAATCTAACTAACCAGCGAACTAACCAACTAACTCACTAACTCAATTGCTCACTAAAGAACTTACCACCAAATGCATATAGCATATGTATCTTGTTGAATGCAAGTGCACTTGCTTTGGGGGTCCGTGACCTGTTCTATTGATTCAACTTCATTCCGCCAAAAAGAACCGACACGAATAGGTCGAGCCCAAAATCGTTTGCAAAAGTCCACGGGTAGACTGGTTTGTTCACTACTAGGGGCTCCTGGCATCGCTACTAGGAACAAGGACGCTACTGGTTTGTTCGCAGCCGTGCAACAGGATTCGTTCTCGTCCTACATAAGAAACACTCTAGCCACTGTGCAATCGGGGAATGTAAGAAGCTACTAGTGGCAAGGTGCACCGCTACTAGTAGCAAGAAACTAGTAACAAGGGCATCGCTATCAGCAACAGGTGCATTGCTACTAGTAGCAAGAAGATCGATTTCTGCACCGTTGATTCGGCCAAAGTGCCTCACCGGGTTTGTCACTGTGAGGACCAAAACGCTTGACAAGGCGCCCGGTGGCTAGGAATGAAGAGCGAGCACCTTGCGGCGAAAGCAAGCAGTAAAACTAAATGCGGAAATCCTAGTAGCGTCCTCTTGCTCCTAGTAGTAAGGCCAGGAGCCCCTAGTAGCGTCCCTGCTCCTGGTCCTAGTAGCGATGCCAGGAGCCCCTAGTAGCTTCTTGTTGGTAGTAAGATGGCCCTGAAGTTTGAGATGCCGATCAGGCAAACCTGTCTACACTTCCTTTCTGCAAAACCCTCTGGTGCCGGGACAACGCTCTCTGGACAAAAATGGCCAGCTCATGGGCATACACCCTTTAGCGAGCGGGCTTTCTCTCTATTCTCAAGAAACATTGGAAAATGTAACAAGAAGCTACTAGGGGATCCTGGCCTGACTACTTGGGGCTCCTGGCATCGCTACTAGTAACAAGAAGCTACTAGGTGGTTGATTTTAGAGGATCAAGCCCGAAGGACCGTAGCCAAGCATCCAAAAAAGGAGCTATGCGTCGCTGTAGCCTGTGAAAAACAACCACCTGGATGCAGGTTACCACCCGGTTTGCATTCTGGTTGCC